ACTGCACTACAGCCTGGGCAACAGAATGAAACTCCAACTCAAAAAAAAGAAAAAGAAAAGAAAATCGTTAAGCAGGTAAGTGAAGACCTAAGCAACTTAATAAGTTAATAAAAATAATTCATATACACTAAGTGCTGTTAAGTGACAGAGGTGCTGCTTTGTTTTGGGTATTCAGGGAAGGTCTCTTTGTTTAGGTAGCACTAAAGTTACCACTGAGAAGAAGGAAGATTCAGGAGAAGAGCACTCTGAGCAGAAAAAACTGCAGGTGCAAAGTCACTGTGGTGGGAATGCGCTTGGCATATATAAGGGACAGAATGCAGACTAGTATAAATAGAGTGTGGTGAAATGAGGCAGGAGTGGAGAAAGATGATGTCTGAGAGTTAGGTAAGACCCACTTCCTAAACTGTTCCCAGACTCTGTCCCTTTCTTCCTTCCTTCCCAATGCCATTGCCCTCATTCAGGCCCTTGTCAGCTCTTGTCTAGAGTAGTACAGGAGTTTCCTGCTAAGTCTCTGTGATTCTTTTTCAATATTCTTGAATTACCTTCTATTCTTAAATAGCTAATACTTATTAAGAATTGACTCTGTGCCAGATACTATTCACAGGGCTTTCTGTGAATTAATTCATGACATTCTTACAATAACCTGTGAGGTTGGTTTCTGTTACTCTTCCCATTTAATGATGAAGCAATTGAGGCAACCAAGGTTACATAGATTTTACAAGACCATGCAGGTGCTGAGTGACATAAGCTACTGAGGACCTTGAACATAGGCAGACCAATCACAACCCATGTTCCTAAACAATTCACTCTACTGTCTCTCTGAGGTATTATTTGGAAAATAAATTCCAATATGTTACTTCCTTGCTGGAAAAATGCCATGGCTTCCACAGCCTAGCAGATGAAGTCCAAACATTTCAGGACTACTTTTAAAATCCTTCTAAATCTGGCCTGTCTTGCTGCTGCTGCCTCTTGAAGCTGTGTCTTCAAACAAGCTTTTGCTCCTGAAACACTGTGCCATTGTCTCTGACTGGGATTCTCTCTCCCTATTATTTCCTAACCAGTGAACTCATACTTTAAAAAATAACTTGCAGTGGGGGCCTTTTTTCTTTGCATACTCCAAGCAAAATGTATTATTCCCTTCTGTATGTCATTAACTATTTTTTTGAGTTGGAGTCTCACTTTGTAGCTGAGGCTGGAGTACAGTAGCATGCTCACAGCCACTACAGTCTCGACCTGCTGGGTTCAGGTGATCCTTCCACTTCAGCCTTCCAAGTAGCTGGAACTACAGGCATGTGACACCATGAGCAGCTGATTTCTTTTTTTTATGTAGAGACAAGGTCTTGCCATGTTGCCCAGGCTGGTCTCAAACCCCTGGGCTGAGGCAGTCCTTTTGCCTCAGCCTTCCAAAGGGCTGAGATTAAAGGCATGAGCCACAGCACTTGGTTCTTATATGTTATTATAACAGTTTATAGTCCTGTTACAGATGCAATTACAAAACTGTGTTATAAGGCCCGGCATGGTAGCTCAAGCCTGTAATCCCGGCACTTTGGGAGGCTGAGGTGAGAGGATTGCCTGAGCCCAGGAGTTCGAGACCAGCCTGGGAAACTTGGTGAGACCTTGTCTCTACAATAAATCATGAAAAATTATCCAGGCATGGTGGTACATGCCTATAGTTCCAAGTACTTGGAAGGCTGAGGTGAAAGGATCACCTGAACCCACAGGTTGAGGCTATGGTGGCCATGAGTGTGCCACTGCACCCCAGCCTGGGCTACAGAGTGAAACTCCAATGCAAAAAACAAAAACAAAAACAAAAAAATGTGTATTATAATTAGTTGCTGACAATGATCCCTGCCTGAAACCACACATATACCAAATCCTATATATACTACTTTTTTTCTTTGCATGCATACCTATTGTAAAATTTAATTTATAAATTAGGCACAGTAAGAGATTAACAGCTAATAATAAAAATTATAACAATACAGTATATTGTAATAAAAGTTATGTGAATTTTTTTTCTCTCTCTCACTTATTGTACTGTACCCAGGGTAAGTGGATTGAGAATACTAATATATATGCCCCCATCTCCAAGTACATTGTGTCCTTGGACATGAAAACTGCAACTTACTAACGGAATTCCTATCCTTCCATAATTTTCTCTAGTTATTTGAGATCTGAGCACCCTTCAAAACCCTCTTGGGCGACACCAGTATCTTTGATACTGAATTGAATTTTCTGAAAAATTTGAGCTCACCTGTTTATCTAAGAGTCATCTTTCCCTTTAGAGTCCCGACTATATTTTCACTATAGGTTTGTAATATACTTTCCTAATAACTAGGGCATATATCTGCTTATGTTTTGCCAGATACTTCCTTTACTATTACACACCCCCCCATTAGTATTTTCTCCTAAATGATTATTTCCATTCACCCAACCATTCGTATTTGTTGGTCAGTACAAAATCCAAAGTAGAAGCCCCCACAGCTTCCTTTATATTTTGAGTGTTGAAACTGTCAGCAAGGCCAGTAGAGACTTGATCAGAAGCTCTGCTTTCATCTGATATATACTTTTGGCAGAAGAGTTCCCATATCTGTCAGCCTCCTGAGGAAGGACAAATTTCCAAACCTAGCGCACATGGCCCCATGACCCCTGGGCCCAGCTTCAGCCCTTGTGAAAAGGGGGATGAAGAGGAGGAAAAGGAGGAAGAGGAGGAGGAAGGAGAGGGGGAGAAGGAGCAGAAGGAGGAGGAATGTTACTGATTAATAGAGTGTGAGTGAGGCACTGAATGGGCCATAGGGCCCAAGGCACTGCTTTCTCTCCTGTAATCTTGACCTTGGGAAACTGTTCTTGTGTTTCCACAGGCTGAAAAGTAAAGACCTCTTGCTCTGAATGCCTTCTTAGTTCTCCCTGCACCTTTCCTGTAGCTGACAAAAAGGAGATCCCAGGCTCTCCTCACATTTGGCTGCTGCCTGAAAAAGTCATATATGCAAGCAATCTCTTTTTTCCTTTCTCTTTCTCCCTCCATGTACCTAATGAAGTAAGATAGGCCTGGAGTCTTGAAAAGTTCCAAAAATAGGGCTATCAGACAAAGTATAAAATGCCGGGTTAAACTTGTCATTTATCTGAAATCCAAATTTAACTGGGCATCTGTTTTCTTCTTCCTTGGCAGGGAAGCTTTGCAACTTATGTGTTGGAAGTCCAGAGTGGAAAAGGAGGAGACTGGATTCCATGGGCTGCTTTTGCTGTAGCAAAACGTGTCCTCTACATTGTCTTAGGTACTAGATGTCTGTGCTATGCATCTCCTCAGATCCCTCCAGATTTTCTATCCTTTTTCACCTTGCTCAGTGCCCTAAAGGGCTAATCTGTATAAGCTACTTCAGTAAATTTCCTTGCTCTCCATCTTCTTGGTGAGAGTGTTTTTCTGTTCCTATCTTATGGGTCACTGTAGGGCACAGGATCCCTCTGTGGAAAGTCACAGCTCCTGTCAGATAGCCCTCTACATGCAGAAGTCCTCTTGAGGCCCCAAAATCTGCTCCCTTTCTTCACCTTCTCAGGCCTAGGGTCCATAATGACTCCCAATTGTCCCTAGTTGGTAGGGGAGGAAATAATCCAATTTTTATAGGTTTCCATACTTATAGTCTACACATTTGTAAAGTGTCTTTTATTCCACTATCCTCAAATTACTATATATCTATTTTCTGCCACAATCCTAGATGCTAGAATATCTACATGGGAGCTGGTACCATATTTCAGAGTCATTTTTTTTCTTTTTTAAATTCCTGTCTTCTATTTCTATTTTCTGCCTTGTCCTCTGTGGATTTATTTCTTTCAAAGGCTTTAAGTTTTGGAATTAAGGATTAGATTTTGGTATTTTGGCCCCACATTCCTTATCAATTATACCATTTACATTTTGTTTCAATCTCAACCACCACCGTCATATACACACACACACACAGTGTGTAACTTCTGTTTGATTGACTGATGTCAGTTATATGCATCCATAATTAAATTATTTAATATTCTCATTTTCAAACATTTTCTGCTCTAATTTTACCCTCAATGCTAACTAATTAATTCATTAGGAACCTTCGAGAATCTGTCACATACTCTGCACTGTGTTTGTGCTAAATACAGTGAATTATGCCACATGTTTCTATCCTCCCCAAGGAGTTTATAAACTAATTGGGGAGATAAGATATATCCCTAGGAAAGTTCAGCAATAATAGCAACACCACAGTTGCTGCATTTCATAATTGGGTTTCAAATGCCTAGCATAGATAGTCCTTACTGATTCATCAGAGTAAGGGATCACTGGAGACTGGAATGGAGGAGAAGTTCTTTGTCTTTTAAAAAGTTTTAAAGAAAGGACCATTCTATGTGATTTTCCCAAGACAATTTATCTGTCAAAGGAACCAGAAATGCTAGGTGGTGACTTGGCCTTGCAGTTATCAGAGAACAGTGAATTGGTGGAGCTTCCAGGACTCCTTTGGGAAATCTCCTTGCCTTACACCAGTGCACCCATAAAATGTTCTCAAGTGAGATAGCCGTTTTTTTTTTTTAAATGGGTTTACTTAGCTTCTAAAATGTTCTCCTATTGCTAAAAAGTCAGAGGGTAAACTTCATTTAAAAGTGTTATGATATGAGTATTAGAACATGAATAGAGGGCTAGAAATTTGCCATATATGATCTGGGAAAGTCATTCTTCCAGGAATCTGCCTCTCTGCTTGTCCTCAGGGAGAAAATGGGTCCTCACAGAACTCATTTGTTCCCCTGATTTTAGCATGCAACAGCAGTTCAAAGCATGACTCAGAAACCTGAGTAGGAGAAAGAATGAGATGTGGTTCCATGAGTAGTATCTAAAAAAATCATCTCAGTTTTTTGATGAATACATATATATTACCATCTATGAAAGGCCTTCTGGATGTTTCAGATAACAGTGTGAATCTTACTATAAGCAGGAGAAAGAATGGATTCGACCAACTTGATTCTAAACAGCATACCTCAGGAATTGGTTCATTCACATAGTTCCATTCTTCCAATCCTGGCTTAGGTGGCTGTGGTTGTACTGGAGTAGGTGATACATCTGAAGAGCCAGCAGGTGACTTCTTTCCTGGTACTTTTCCTCCTGGTGATTTTCCTTTTGGAGAACCTTTAAACATGCATATCAAATTATTTCAATACAAGTAGATGAATGCGATAGGATTTGGCGCATGAATAACTCTATGGTTGCCATGGACTTCAGGCAATTCATTAACTTTTTAAGCTTTATTGGGCGGTCTTAGAAAATAAAAAATAATTTTTAAAAATCACCATTCTCCACAGTCTTCAAATTAACCAATAAAACTATAATAGTGAGGTCTTATTTATTTATTTATTTAATTTTGAGTTGGAGTTTCATTCTGTTGCCCAGGCTGGAGTGCAGTGGCAAGCTCATGGCCACCACAGCAGCATCAACCTGCTGGGCTCAGGCGATCCTTCTGCCTCAGCCTTCCAAGTAGCTGGAACTATAGGCGCAAGCCATCATGTCAGGTTAATTTTTTGATTTATTATAGAGACAAGGTCTCACCATGTTTCCCAGGTTGGTCTCGAACCCCCAGGCTCAGGCAATCCTCTCACCTCCACATCTCAAAGTGCTGGGATTACTGGCTTGAGTCACTGCGCCCAGCCTAAGATCTTTTTTTCAAAAGCAACCCAATTTTCTTATCCAACTGGCTATTAGAAAGACAACTTGACATTTTATTTTCATCCCTGTCCTTGCTTCCACAATAAATATGTAGCTTTTTATGAAGTTTAGACACTAGAGCAAAGTGTATTTCATGTACTATTTCAAAAACTAGCAAACTAAACTCTTACCCCTGAATGAGAAAGAAGCTAATTAGAACATGAGTGGTACGCTTGGTATCTCTTGGAACCAGGGCAGAGGACAGGGAGAAAGGAGGATACTGTATGAATCAACCAGAGTAGGAGAGGGATGCAGAAGAGGAGAAGAGGAGGTATGGTACCTCTTGAACATTTCTATATTTCCTGTATGAGACATGGGACTTCTGAGGGAAAAGATATTTCTTATTACAGTCAGGGAATAAGGATGAAGGCAGTTGCCATGTCATGAGCCTGGCTGAGTCAAGGCACAAGAGAGAGAGAGGGGAGGGAGAGAAGAGAAGGGAAGGGGAAGGGAGGGGAGACAGAGGAAGTAAAGGAAAAAGAGATGTAATTTTTGATCCAGAATCTGAAAAGAACATACACTTCACTTTCCCTGACAGCATCAAGAGGAGAATCTAGACCTATGGTCTGAATAACCTCGTTCCTTAAGTCAGAGAGCACCAATATTCCCTAAAAGAAACAAGGTTATTATGGTTTAGAAATTCACTCAGTTTAAAATTATACTTACCTTTAGATTAATTATTGAGATTTTTAGACAGTTTATAGACACCTGTAGAACTGACAGCACTTACAGCTTTGTGTATTTGAATAAGTATTATTTAATAAAAATGTTGTTTAAAAAAACAAATATATCTTCTACCTTTATTTGATTTAAAAATAAGTGAATTATAAGTAGAGAAAAATTGTTAATTTTATCTTGTGGGCAGTTTAGGCAACTAATAGTTAAATGTTTAAAAACAACATTCAGAGGCAGGGGGAAGATGGTAGCCTAACCAGTCAGACTATGCGAGTCCCGGTGTGAGTGAGTGAAGGTATGGAAAATTTTGTGTATGTGCTGGTGAGCAAGTAAGCATGTGTGAGTGGCTGACTGAGTGAGGGCTAGGGAGCTAATGGCTAGGGCACTTCTGGTGTAGCGGTTGGTGCCACAACAGTTAGGCTTGGACCCTAGCGATTCCCAGGACGCAAAAGCCAAGAGCCATTTTCTTTCTTTTAAATCAACAAAACTCTCCCTGGGAAGAAAATGCTGGAAGAGACTATCTAAGTGGGGGATCAGGAGCAAGTGTCCAGGCCCCTGGTGCAACAGCTGGTGCTTCAGCTTCTCTGCTTGGTCCCTGGCTCTTCCGAGGTCACAGAAGTCGAGCGCCTTTTTTTTTTAACGGACAGTTTTCCTGTGAAAAGCAGCAGGGAGAGACTGTCACCCCGGGTTCTCCCTCACCATGGGCAGGAGAGACTGCCGACCCTAGGCTTTGCCTCACCACTTCAGCGCCTGGCAGGGCACTGGCAGCAGGGGCTGCGGACGGACTCCAGAGGCAAGTTCCCATGGAAAAGGACAAGAGAGGCACCACCTTGTAGGCGGGGCAGGAAAGGGCTCCGACTTGCTCACCACAGAGCGAAAGACCCAATCTCTGTGACTGGTGGATCAACTACTCAGGGATTGATAGTGACCCAGAGGGAATATCCTGAAAGCACAAACTTCAAAAGGACCTGATGAGTGCTGAGTTCCTGGCACCGCACCCCCTACCCTGATCCAGCCCCAACACAAAGTGTGTGGCCAGGAAAGGATGAGGATGGACTCCAAAGAGATCAGTGGTGAGTCCAAGGCTGACTCCAACCCCCCTCCTCCCCAGTAATCCTCTGAACATCAGACCCACACAATTGGGCCATGACTAAGAGGGACAAACCCAAGCAGAGCCTGGACATCAGTCACAATAGGAGAACTCCATTCCAGGATAGGCCTGGCTGAGGCACCCCCTACGAGACAACCCTGCACCTCACCACAGGAGATCTCCCTGACCATATGAGAGTGGGAGGGGAGGACTGCAACCCCACCCACTTTCATTGCCCCTCTGCCTTCCCTGTTCCAGATACTGAGGAGAGAGTGAAAGAGGTGGCTCTGCAGGAGAGACCTAATCAGAGGAACAATTACAGAGCCTGCCACAAGAGGGCAGGCTTTTAAAAATTTTTTATTAAAAAAATTTTTTTTTAAAAAATTCTTTGTTCGGTTGTCATTTATTTTAAAAATATTTTTCCCTTGTGCATGAATGTGTATGTGAGGATTTGATCTGCATCCTCCCCACCAATTTATTTTTCTTTTTCTGTTTCTTTCTTCTTTTACTTGTCGTTTTCTGTTTATATGTGTATATGAATGATTGAGCATTCATCTTTCAATTTTGTTGTTGTTATTAGTTTGCTCTTTTCTTCTAGGGTTTTTTATTTTCATTCTTTATAATTTAAGGTGTGTGTCAATATATATGTGAGGGTTTGATCTGAATTCCTTTTATTTCCTGGTCTTTGTGTTTTTCTTCTCTATTCAAATTGTTCTAGACACGTGTGTATATGTTAGTTTTCTTGGCTTTCTTGTTGTTGTTATTTGTTTTGTTACACTTTGTTGCTATTCCAGTTGGTTTAGGGGTGTGTGTGTATGTGTGTTTGTGTGTGTTCAATTGTTTTGTCCATTGGTTTCTGCTTTGCATCTTCATATAGAGTGGTGGTGGGGAGTAGGTCTCAGGAACACATAATACAATATGTGAACATTGTAATTTGCAAGTAGTTTCTGAAACCTAGCGACCCATCTCCTATTTTAGTTGAATTTCAAAAACTACAAGAAACAACAAAGCTTCCCATCCACCATCCTATTTCAAAATAGAACAAATCCAGAGCCTGGATCAGGGAAGTATAGAGGACTGAGCAAACATCAGAAGAGAAAGCCTCTCCCATTGACACTGAACAACAGAAATAAAGAGAAAAACAAGAGATATGTTACAAATGAGGAAATATCAAAGGAAGACCACAGGCAAATTCAAGTGTACCAAAGATAAAACTCCTGAAAAATCAGACCTTGGTGGCCAAACAATGGAAGTCACCAATGACTGGCCTCAGAATAAGACAGGGATTAGGGAATGGATAAAAAGAGTAGATAAGACTCAAGAAAGACAAGTTGCAACACTAAAAGAAGTTGTAACAGAAATTTTGGCAATAAAAAATTTCATCCAGGAAATAAATAACAAGAAGACAAGCATGGAAAGCAGAATTAATCTAGCTGAAGAAAGAATCTCAGAACTTGAAGTCCAGAACATGGAATTAACCTGATCTGTCAAAAACATAGAAAGAAGACTCAGAAAGAAAGAACAAAGCCCATAAGAGATGTGTAATTATATCAAAAGGTCAAATCTATACCTGACTGGTATCCCAGAAGAAAAAAAAAAAAAGAAGAACAACTTGGAGCAAGTATCCCAGGAAGTAATCCAAGCAAACGTTCCCCATCCCACCAGAGATGTGACCAGTCAAGCACAAGAGATACAGAGAACCTCCATAAGACATCAAAAGAGAAGCCCAACCCCTAGACACATAGTAATTAGCTTATACAAAGTAGGCATAAAAGAGCTGGGCTTGGTGGCTCAGCCTGTAATCCTGCACTTTGGGAGGCAGAAGTGAGTGGATTGCCTGAGCCTGTGGGTTCGAGACCCGCCTAGGCAACTTGGCGAGACCTCATCTCTACAATAAATCAAAAAATTAGCCGGGCATGGTAGTGCACGCCTGTAGTTCCAGCTACTTGGAAGGCTGAAGCGGAAGGATTGCCGGAGCCCAGCAGGTCAAGGCTGCGGTGTCCGGGAGTGGCCACTGCACTCCAGTCTGGGTGACAGAGTGAGACTCCAACTCAAAAAAAAAAAAAGTAGGCACAAAAGAAAAAACCCTAAAGGCAGCAAGAAAGAAAGGTCAGACTACTTAGTGGGGAAAATCAATCAGAATAGCAGCAGACCTATCGACAGAAATACTACAAGCAAGAAGAGACTAGAGCCCCATATTCAAAGTCTTCAAAGATAAACAGTTTCAACAAAGAATTTCCTATCCAGCCTAGTTCAGCTTCATCAGTGATGGAGAATTAAAATCCTTCCCAGACATCCAATCCCTAAGAGATTCTGCAGCTTCCAGACCAGTTCTGGAAGGTAAAAAGGTATTAAGCACAGAAGAAAGAAAAATTTACCACATACTTCTCAAGAGAACAGCAGAGTACAGAATCAACAGAGAATACAGTGCAACAAGAAACTTGAAAAAACACACATAAAGCCAAAAGAAAACAAGCAAACAAAGGAAAAACTTTATAAGAACCTTATGACAGGGATAAACAATCACATTTCAATAATCAGCCTGAATGTAATTGGACTAAATGCACCACTGAAAAGACACAGAATGGCAAACTGGATAAGAAACCATTACCCAATTATTTGCTGCATCTAGGAGACTCATCTCACTACAAGGGATGCACAC